ATCTCTTCGCTTAGGTATTCATAATTTTCCTTTTTATCATGTTGCATATACACCGTTGCTATCATGTACTTCCTCCCTCCGATCTTTATTGCTCCTGCTATTACCTCACTTGTCCTTTCTTTCTTCCATTCAACCTTACTCATCCCTTTCCTCTCTCTTACCGCCATTATTCCTCCCCCTATTTCTCTCCCCCTTCTTCCTTCCCTTCTTGAGTCCCTCCACTCTATGCTGTACCCTTTCAGTTGTTTCTCCACACCAATTCTTGCCCCTTGTCTCTTCATCCAGGTTTCCATTAGCCCTATTATGTCGAATTCCCTAACATATTCCCAGTCGTCTTCCTCCATGCTCCTCACCCCCGCCACGTTCCAGAATAGTATTTTTACTGCCTTTCTCCCCTCTCACTCCCTTCTCTCCTCTTTCTCTCTTTTTTCTCTATTGTTTTCGAAACCTTTCCTTCCCCTTTCCTATCATTTTTCCCTCTCTCTCGCTCCACCACCATTCTTCTTCCTCTAACTTCATCCCGTTATGCCACATCTTTACCTCTTTACCTTTACTTTTTATTTCTTTCGTTTTCCTTCTTACTTCCTCTCTTATCCTTCTCTGCTTCCACGTCCAGTCCTGATATATGTAGATCTTTTTCTGTCCCAGCTTCTTTTTCCTCTTCATAATTCCTTCTTTTTGTTCCCATGAAGCACATCTAATTTGCCACATCTTTTTTCCTCTTTCTCTCCTATCGTCCCTCCCCGCTGTCCCTCCTATACTTCTCAGATTCACTATCTGTCCTTTCATTTCTAGATCCTTCCTTAACCAGTCCCCTGCCTCTTCCTTCTTTTCCCATCTTAACCCACCCTCTAAGTCTGTCACTATTATATTGTTTATCCTACTTTCTCTATCCATTTTTTCTCTCGTATACTTTATTTCTTCCTTATTGCCTACTTCTGTTCCTCTTTGCTTTTCGTTTCCTCCTTCTATACTTTCTTTTAGTTTCACGCATTCTTCTTCCGACTGGTTCGTCCTCTCTCTCCATTTTTTCTGCAGTTTCTTTTCTCTAAGATCTGCTTTTTCCCTTTCTTCTTTCATCTCTTTTTTCCTTTCTTTTAACTCTCTCTCTCTCTTGTTCTCTCCTAACTTTTCCTATTTATATTTCCCATCTTTTCCTCTCTGCCTCCATTCTTTCCATTTTTTCCATCATTTCTTTAAATATTTCTGTCCATTTTCACCTTTCTTCCTCCCATACCTCTCTTAAATCCCTTATATCTGCCCGTATCTTTTCCATTATATCCTCTGCACCACTACTTTTTCCCACTTCTCTTATCGTCTTGTCCAATCCTTCTCCTCCCTCCCCTTCCATCTCGCTCCCCTCGCTCTCACTCTTGCATCTTTTTGCCTCTCTCATTTCACCTCTAATATTCTCTCTCAGGCCCTCTCCGCTCTCTCTCCCCCTCACCACCTTTACTCTTTTCTTCTTTTCCTCCTCTGGGCCTTTCTTATCCAACCTTCCACTTTTATCTCTTAATTTTTCTGTTGTCACAAATCTTTCCATCCTATCCCGTACGCCTTAATTCGCCTCTCTATATCTACCCGTGATCCCACCTTTATTCCCTGTCTTACCTTTTCTGTCTCTGCCTTTACTTCTTACCGCCCCTTCTCACTGCCTGCTTTTCCCGCTTTCTGATTTTCTCTCTTAACCTCAACTTTTATTTTTTTCTTTATCCCTCTCTCTCTGCTTTTTGCTGCTCTTCTCCAGGCCCCTCTCTCTCTTCTCCACTCCTCCTCCGCCACCACGCTCTTTTCACCTCTATTTCTCTCCTCAAATCCTTTTCCTCTTTAACTTTCTCACCAAAGCTCGCGCTCACATCCAAGACACGTCCACACTCCCCTCGAGTGAAATCTAACCTCCATAAGAATATTGGAAACAGTCGCTTACGAACAGTCGATTTTTATAGTAAATTCAAAACAGTGAGTCTTTCCACTTTTTAACTGAGCAACTGCAGATGCGTCATGACAGAATTTATTTATATCAGACACTTAATAGCATTATTATTACCTACCGTTAACATCAATCATTTGATGTTTTTTTAGTATCATTTCGTTTTAATTTATATTATTTGAAAAGTTATCTACGATGTAGTGAAAGAATAATAAGAATTATATTTAATAAACGAGAAGAATGCAATTATAAAAGGTACTATATTAGGATGGTTTTATTAAAATCATGATTAGTACCATTTTTTCAATCTGCTATCATGTTTTTAACTTCAAATAGTTGTTTACATTTATACAAATGTAGAAAAGTATATTTACATCTTTTTGTGACCCGTGCTCTAATAAAACATCTTTCTAATTTGATTTTTTCTGCTATACTACACTCGTTCATCACAAAACGATCTCAGAAGTGGTTTCCTTTTGCGTTTCACGACTCTTTTCTCTGCTTCTCTTTTCAAATTCTAGCAGAAATCTGCCATTACTTTGACATTCCATCGTCCTTGATACTGTCTTTCCATCTCTTTAATATCTTGATGGAATCTGTCTTTTAGTTGATGAAATGAAGAAAATGTAATTTCACGTTCCTACTCTAGCCTAATACTTCGAAATTTCTAACCATTCGAGCTACTATTTCTTTATTTTTTTCACTATTTCTATTACTTAGGAAATCTGTTACTGTTATTTTAAAACTATTTCATTCAGCTTTCTCTTTATCATTCATATTTTCAATAAAACTATCATCTCTGAACAGTATTTTTTAATTCTTGCGATCACAACGATCCTATTTACATAAGAAACAAAGATACAGGGTGAATCCAGTTTGCTACCCTAGAATGACTGTTAATATTTTGAAATCTCCACAAACTAACAATTTATGTTCACCATATTTTATTTTATTTAAAACTAACTGAATATCTTCATGGAATGTGCTACTGGTACAAGGGTCGTTTGAAAAGTCCGTGCAAAAATAAAACCTGCTTGATTTTTTTTAATAAATCTTTTTTATTTTTCAACATAGTCTCCTTTTAGGCTTATACACTTCATCCAACACTGCTCTAGTTTGTTAATCCCTTCCAAATAATAGGATTTGTCCAAGTCTGTAAAATAGGCATTCGTTTCTGCAATCACCTCCTCGTTTGAATAAAATCTTTTCCTCGCCAGCCATTTTTTCATATTAGGGAACAAATAGTAGTCCGCCGGAGCCAAGTCTGGAGAATAGGGGGGATGTGAAACGAGTTGGAACCCTTTCTCCATCAGTTTTGCGGTTACAACTGCTGAGGCGTGAGCTGGCGCATTGTCGTGGTGGAAGAGGACTTTTTTGTGGGACAATCGTGGACGTTTCTCTAGCAACTCGGTTTTCAAACGATCCAATAACGATGAATAATATTCGCCTCTAATGGTTTTACCCTTTTCTTCAAGCTTCTGTTTAATCTCCTGAGGCATTTTGCCTTTGAAAAAGTAACGTTTAATCAATACACGAAATTCTTTTTCGTCCATTTTTTTACAACCACTCGATTTCTTTGATTGAAACGAATGTAAAACGCAAAGTAATTGGCCGATCTGGCTGAAACTTGGCGTGTGCTCTTCCAAGATATGTCACTAACTGAAAATACCCTTGATACGCACTAGTAGCGCCATCTCTCTGACTTTGCACGGACTTTTCAAACGACCCTCGTATTAGTGCACAGTCGTTCTTATTATGAAGCACTGCTTTCAGACTTTGCGTTGAAAAATCCACAAAAAGTCTCCACTGTTCATCTTTGTAAACATATAACGCTAACTCATTTGTGAGTCCATTTACATCGTTACAATATACTAATGAAGGCTCTTCTGACATCATAAAGAATGGCCTGAATGCATCTTTCCTATTACGAAAACTACATATTAAATTAGACCTAATGAAGTAATTTGTTAAAGCCCTAAATAAAGGAGAAAAAGGAAAATATTATGAATACTTAAAACAACGATTTCCGAAACTATCTAAATCAAAATTGAGAGAAGACATTTTGATGGGCCACAAATTAGAAAAATGCTCAGAGATGATAGTTTTATTGAACATATAAATGATGAAGGAAAATCTGCCAGGTATAGTTTTGAAAAAACTCTAACAGATTTCCTGGGTAATAGAAAAAGTGAAAACTATAAAGAAATAGTAGCTGAAATGGTTAAAAATTTCGAAGCATTAGGCTGCAATATGAACTTGAAATCATATTTTCTTGATTCTCACACTACTTTTTAATCAACTTAAGTGTTTTCAGTGAAGAACAAGAAGAGATATTCGATCAAGACATCAAATAGATGGAAAGACGGTATCAAGAACGATGGATTGTCAATATAATGGAAAATTTTTGCTAGAACTTAAAGAGAGGAGTAAAGAAACGAGACGTGAAATGCAAAAGCAAACAACTTCTGAGATCGTTTTGGGATAAACGAGTCCGCTATAGCAGAAAAAATAAAATCAGAAAGATGTTTTATCAGAGTATGGATCACAAAAAGTTGTAAATATATTTTTCTCTTCATTTGCAATGAAGTCTGAATTTTGCTTTGATCTGACCTTGAACCAGAGCTAATCGGATGAAACGGACTTCGGAATCTGGTTCAGCGACATCGAAAATGTATATATCATGGATTTGTGCCTCACACACGCAACTTTCTTTCGTGGGGCTGTGTCATTCGTTTTTTAATACGTGTAAGTTTTTCTAACTTATTAATGTTTCACGTAATAATAAGTAAGAATTTCGTTTCATTGAAAAAAATGGAATGGTGCAGATGAAATAGTTAGCGTATTCAAAGAATTCTATTCCAGCTATATCAAATAGTATTTCTTTCTATTTTACAGGTCGGCTCTGGGCCGGCGGGTTAACGTTTTGTATTAGGTACAAAAGGGTTGCTTATAAGTTGCACTGCCGATAGAATAAAAATATAAATATAATAAAGCGTTCAGTTCTATGTATGTGAATGATGGTGTGAGTGAAGGAGAAAGGAGATTGGTGGAATAAATTTGTCTAACTAACCTTGGGACTTCAGACGAAGTAGTGGTTGAGGAAACGTTTGTTGATTTGGCAACGACAACTTTAACAATGCTGCTAATATCACTGCTGCTACTGATGCTGTTAATATTTTCAGATGCTGTTGGTTTCAAGGAAGAACGCGATCCAACGTTTATAGATGATGCTGTACTCCATAACATTGGTTGTGAAGTGAGCAGCCATGGAGGGCTTGGACGCGTAGTAGTTGTTGTTGTTGATGCTAAAAGAACATTTTCAATTGTTTATTAAACTTAATTGTGCATTCATTAAATCAGATGTTATATTACACCATAAGAACTACAAAATTTGTAACAGATAGAAAATTTTTCATATAAATAGTACTTTTATACTATTAACTAGTGTCGTCAAATAGGCTTCGTACGTTTAATTGTGAATTGTATTTAGTAACATTCAGTTTCATGCTTGAAACTGAAAACCCAAGTTATTGTAGGCAAAATAAAAATATCCTAAAAAACACTACATACATAAAACAATTCTATGCTTTAAAATGCTCACTATAGGTCGATATTAATTTATAAGTTGTAACGGAGACCCTTTCTAATTAGAAAAAATGCAAAAACGCTATAAAATATGTAACGGAGAATCAGCGACCGTTCCCGTCTGGGTTGCTCGTGGCCGTCCGCACAAATTATTTATTCGGGGATTCGGGAAGCAAAAGAAGTTCGCACGACTCAACAAAGCGTCGAGCATAAACACATTAAACGCACAGATTCGAAATCGGAATGAGGAGTGATACAGCGGCGAATAAATACAACAGCGGAGTATCACACTAATCCTTTAATCGTCAACAATAGGTTACAAGACGGCGATCTCGCGCTTATACACTACGAGCGGCACAATAATAAATCCGAACGCGAAGGTGAATCGGTGGCTGATCAGCCTGCCGATTCTCTGTATAAAACTAAATTGTTACAATAATGCCCGACAAAACACTTTCCGCCGTTAAACTATCAACAGGGTAGCCAGCAGGTCTGCCGTGCTACCATCCACAAGCTACCGACCTCAACCTTCAGCCTCTCTGATGGCTTTTTTCTGATGTTTGTTGTCGTAGCTGTCTATCTTCTTGCCCGTCCTCTCGCTCGCTCCACAGTACTGCCTCAATCCGTAACTCGCTCGTTGATTGCTATTGCTGTTGTCTCCGCCGCCTCTCTATTACTCGGTACTGCAGCACGTCCAAATTGCTCTCTCTCTCTCTCTCTCTCTCTCTCTCTCTCTCTCTCTCTCTCTCTCTCTCTCTCTCTCCTTTCTTCTGCGCCATCTCCATCGCTCCAGTCGTCAGCTCAGCGCGTGTACAGCACCTCGTAAACAAAAATAAAAATTCAAGCATGAGTGTGTGTACCACACGCACACTCTCAGCTTGGCGCGGCGCACGGACATTTGCGAGAGCCAAACGGACGAAATCGGCATAGCCGAGATTCTCCGTTACATAATAACAATTCAATTACGTTGATTTTAGCCGATTTATTTTTTCAAATCTTATAACTTAACAGATTTTGAGTTGTTTAGATATACAGGGTGTCTAAAAAGTAACGAAACACCCCAAAAATTTGCCTTGTAAACTATTATCTTGAAAACGTCTAGGTCATTCTATAGGTATCTTTTTACGAGGAACCGATTGGTTACCAAATATGTATATAAATACATCACATTTACGTATGGGTGTAATACGGAAATCTGAGATACTATTTTTGACTTCAACTTTTACGAACTGCGTGCTACGGCGCTTGCGAGGTTCTTATAGCTCCTGAATTTTGTTAATTTTTTTATATTGTTAGTTTTAAGTAGGTTTTGCTTGCTACATCGCAATTTGCAAATTAAGATATTAGCTTGCCGCATATCTGTTTGTGGCGAGAGTTCTTTAGAGTGCAATGATTTTTTGCTGACGTGTACAGAATTTGAGTTTCTTTAAAAGCTTGAGTTTCAGAACTTTATAATAAAAGTTAAAAGACGTCGTAAGATGTAACAAATCCTCACTGAAATGGAATGTTTGGTCAGGAATCCTTAGCAACAGAATCATCGGATCATTTTTTATTGATGGTAACTTGAATGCTCAAAAGTGTGAAGCTTTGCTTCGACACTAAATAATTCCTGCAATTAGAAAGATAATTGGAGATAATTTAGAAGAGATATAGTTTTAGCAGGACGGTGCACCAGCTCATTACACAAGAGATATTCGCGCTTACTTCGACTGCGTATTCTTTTATCGGTGGATACGACGAAGGTGTACTATTGAATGGCCGGCCAGGTCACCTGACTGGACGCCTCTAAATAACTTTTATTAAGGTTATCTGAAGGATAGAGTATTCTTAACGATACCCAGAGATTAGGATGAATTACGACAAAGAATCGTAGATGAATCAGCCCTCATTCCCACTCAAATGATACAAAATGCCGTTACTACTTTTTATCATAGCTTAGCCTATTATCAAGAGGTAAATGGAGAATAATTCGAAATAACAGCATTTTAAATAAAATACTGATTGATACTAGTCATCAAAGAAGAAAGAGAGGGGATTCACGTAAATCCAGCATCTGAACATGAGAGGCAAGAGGACTTGCGTAAATTAAACACCCGAAAGGGAAAAGATTTTACTACGTCCACGTCGTTGTTCCTGGGTAACGTTAAATATAAAACTAATGACCTTGAAGATCATGTGTACCCAGCAAGTATGAACTTGGATCAAATCTGAAAACCAACAGCTAATTGCGAAGGTTTTAGTTGACTCAAAACCTCAGTACAATATTGAACTTAAAATTTCCCGCTCTCAATTGCTGTTCTTAAATCTCGAAACTTGGATTGCCATGAGCCAATAACCTGAGTACAATTTTAAACTTAAAATTTCCCGCTGTCTCGATTGCCGTTCTCAATACTAGAGGTTTGGATCTCCATAATCCAATGATCCTATGACACATAACTTAAATTCATTTTTGAATGTAAAATTTCCCGCACTTTATATTACCGTTATTTAAAATAGGGCTTTTATTTAAAAAATAAAGTTGACCTTGAAATATCATTTAAGGACATACTCAAGGTCAAATTCAAGGGCACCCATCCTAGACGTAAATAGATTTATTTTATATTGTAATTTATTTAATACATTAGTATCATTATTGAATCTCGCTTCAGTAATTATGTCATTTATGTATAATTTAATCAGGTAAATTGATGAGCTCCGCTTCGCTCGGGCGTAAACGCCACACGAGACAAGAATCTACTTTTCCGCACTTGTATCGTAATGTACAATAGTGCTATATATTATATATAGGTAATATACCTTGAGGAGTAATGAGTCGTTATAGTCAGAAGATTCCTGTAAAACTGGTTTGGTAACAGAAGAGACATTGTAGGATAAGACATAGAAGATTTGCTTATAGTACTAAAACCTGTCAGACCAATTTAACAAAAAAATAACAGTCATAATCATAATCGCAGTCATCATGAGTGTAAGGCTTACATTAGCTAGTGGGGGAACTGAAAAGAAATTTTTGAGTTAAAATCATCTTTATTCAACCGTGTTAACCCATCAATACCCAAGCCGAATCTGGTAGAGATAGCCTTGAAATAACTATTGAGTTCATGTTATAGCTCAAAAATAATTTACACGTGTTTTTTCTTTTTGCATTTCCAATTGTTTATAAAAAGTTATTTAAACAAATTGACAAAAGTTTTAGTTTTTTGAAAAATTATTTACGGCAATCGATTCTACGGGAAAAACCAAGGCGAAAATCTCTGTAAGATTTTCTTGTCAGACTCGATTTTGTTGGTGGTTTCGACTTCGTTGTATCCCAAGCCGAATCTAGTCGAGATAGCCTTGAAATAACTATTGAGTTCATGTTATAGCTCAAAAATAATTTACACGTGTTTTTTCTTTTTGCATTTCCAATTGTTTATAAAAAGTTATTTAAACTAATTGAGAAAAGTTTTAGTTTTTTGAAAAACTATTTACGGCAATCGGTTCTACGGGAAAAACCAAGCCGAAAACCTCTGTAGCGTTTTTGTCAAACTCGATTTTGTTGGGGTATATTCGTTATAAACAATTTGAAACTGAGAAGTGATGCTGACCTCGTTGTATCCCAAGCCGAATCTGGTAGAGATAGCCTTGAAATAACTATTGGGTTCATGTTATAGCTCAAAAATAATTTACACGTGTTTTTTCTTTTTGCATTTCCAATTGTTTATAAAAAGTTATTTAAACTAATTGAGAAAAGTTTTAGTTTTTTGAAAAACTATTTACGGCAATCGGTTCTACGGGAAAAACCAAGCCGAAAACCTCTTTAGCCTTTTATCATACAATTATAATTAGAAATCATAAAGCAGTTTCCATCATTTGAATTTTATGAACCGAATGTGAACTAAAAATAACTTGAAAAAGATTTTCTACGGTTGTACTGCAATAATCACACCATCAGTAGAAATTCCTTATAATTTTATAATTCTTTCTAATTTTCATTCCTATCTTCATTTCAACTGTAAATCGACTAAATAGTTCGGTGTCATATACTATTTCGACGATAGCTTGTCACTCAGTGAAATAGAAGACCATTCTATTATATTGAATAAATTACTGATTTTGTTCTTATTATATACTTCAATATAAAACTATAATTCCATAACGAGGCGAAGAATTGCTGATTTGAATGAGATGGTTGACGGTGATGATATAAATGGTGACCATCATGTTGATATTGCATTTCTTCCAACAGAGCATGAGAGCTCAGATGAAGGTTCACGTAACGAAGAAGAAGAATATACTTCACTTCGGCCGCTTCCTACAGGATCGAATGAACATATAAAGAGTTCTTATACTAGTGACCAGAAGTTACTAGAACCGAATCATAAGTATGAATGGCGTGATAATGCTTTGAATTATGACGATCTTCCAGGTGATGACTATGATCTTTCATCTATTTCATCATTTTACTCAAAAAGTTCTTTGGAGTTGGTTGAACTCTTTTTTTCTCAATCAATGAAAAACTTTATTATAGAAGCTACTTCCGAAAACCACTTTGAATTGACCAATGATGATTTAGACCGATTCATCGTGATCATTATGATTACTATAGTCAATTCTAGGAAAAAGCAGTCTGACTATTGGTCCAACAAACGACTTTTGCAGTGTCCAATAATAAAAGAACTTATGCCAAGGGAAAAATTTGTAAAAATAAAAAAAAACATTAGGTTTTATAAACTTCAAGACA